GCCATGGTTGCATCATCGTGATGTCTCAACAGCACCAACAGTAATATTTTATCATACATTGTGCCTACCGCTGCTCTGAAAGGTGTATAATAGCATCATACAGGCCCTTTAAGTCCAATCTGGCACATCTTTGTTAATGAATAAATATCTGCAAATACTTTATATTTTTCATTCATTAGTCCAGAGCATCTAGTACCATTATCTGCACTCAAGTTCTTAGATGTTTGAGCATGTTTAACTTGTTTGGCCTTGATTCCATGTGGAGCTTTGTCGTTTTGACCACTATTCTTTCATAAAGACTCGTTCTAACAAGACATGCCCTTAACCTATTTCACCAATATTCCTTAGTCAACAACTAGGACTGTGATCTTTATCAGACGGTATTAAAGTTTTTGGTTTAGGGTAAAAACAATCCCAAATTAAGGTTATTAAGTTTAGCAAATATGCAGTTTTTTGTTGTGGCTTTTGAATGGTGCACACCCTTCTGAAAGCTCAACCTATGTGCTGTGATGTTTTAAAATAAAGGCAAGTGAATGTGGTAAAACAAGGGCAAAACACACTGACACCATCTAGCAGACATACAGGTGAAACAAAAAAAATTGAAAATTGTACAAAAGTTCATTTCAGTAATTCTGCTTAAAAGGCAAAACTAATATATGACAGAGACTAACCTGCAAAGCCAGATACTTGAATCCGTTCTTTGATGTAACTGTGATGATTACGGCTTACAGCTTATGAAAACCCCAAATTCAAAATCTCAGACAACTAAAATTTTGTCTAAAAGTTCAGTTTTCTAGACTCAAAGCAGGGGCGGATTTAGGACTGAAGAACATCCGGGGCTTAACACACACACACATGCGCGCACACACACACATGCACTTGCGCGCACGCACACACACGTGACATGCACTAGTCAACCTCATATACATTTGTCTTGTACCACGTAATTTTTAATCTGAAGCTACAGATTAAGCATTTTCAGGGCAGAGTATTGTTCCTGTTAGTGTTTAGTGTGAGATGATAGTAAATATATTCTTTCTCCGACAACTTTACCTGATAAGCTAACTTTAGGCAAACCAGCAGCACAACAAATATTTTCAAATAAGACTCACAAACCTGAGTCAACACCAGTCTCATCAAAGCTGGGGTTCTGTCGTTGTACTTTTGGTCTAAAAAACGTCCTTATGTCCATCTTCACTCATGCGTTTCAGGCAGAGAGTGCAGAAGAAGCCGGCTGCTGAAGGGCTTCTTCTTCAGTGGTGGAGACTCAGGCAGGCTGTATACAAACTACTGCCAGCTGCTCCCTCTCTGTTGGACTTTGGTACTGCATGTTACTTCTACGATTTAGATCCGGGGCTTTTCATAAAACATTCGGGGCTTGAGCCCAAGTAGCCGGGCCTAACGTCGCCCCTGACTCAGTGTCTCACTCTTATCAGATAATGAATCCAAAACACCTGCAAAGAGTTCCTGAGCCTTTAAATGGTCTCTCAGTCTAAGCAGAATTATTGAAATCAATGGACTTTTGCACCATATTGTAATTTTTTGAGGTTCACCTGTAAAAATGCCTCCATCATTTCCAGTTGTGACCCCTCACATCAAGGCCCTTTGGCATGGCGTTTGGTGATCTTTTTTATGCAGTTTTTTTTTCAAGCATGAGCACTCCTAAAATATTTTTAATCAAGTTTTTAAGTTTTAATCAGCACTTAGCAGCTCAGATCTGCTATCTGCTCACATAATTTAAATACTTCAGTCTCCTTAAAGAGTGAACTTGGAATATTTTTGGCTTTGTATAATCAGAAAACGCTGCACAGTGGCAGTTTGTTGCACTGTTGCCTTTGAGCAAGAAGGTCCTGTGTTCAAATCCCAAACAGAGGTCCTTCTGCTTGGAGTTTTAATTTTCTCCCGGTGCATGTGAGGGTTCTCTCCTCGGTACTTCAGTATCTTCACACAGCCCACAAATATAACTGTTAGGTTAGTTAAACTCTAAATTGTCCTTAGGTGGGAGTGCGTTTGTGCATGGCTGTTTGTCCCGTGTGTCTGTGTGTTGCCTTGGGACTGTGGTTTGCCCAATGACAGCTGGGGATAGGCACCACCCCACCTTGACCCTGCAAGGAAAAGTGGGTATCAATAATGGATGGATGGATAATCAGAAATATTCTATTACAACATTGTTGTTTTAAGTCAAAGTCTACTGGTGATCAAATATATTCAGAATTTACAGTTATATAAGATATGGATGAAGAACACTGGTTACAGACCATAGTAGCAATGTAGTGTTAGTAGTGTTACTAGACTCTTTTATTATGATAAGCTGCATTGCATCCTCTGCATCGAGAGGAGCCAGTTGAGGTGGCTCGGGCATCTGTTTAGGATGCCTCCTGGACGCCTCCTTGGTGAAGTTTTCTGGGCACGTCTAACAGGAAGAATGCCTAAAGGTAGACCCAGGACATGTTGGAGGGACTATGTCCCCCACCTGGCCAGGGAGCTCCTTGGGATTCCCCCAGAGGTGCTGGTCCAAGTGGCTGATGAGAGGAAGTCTAGGCCTCTCGACTTAGGCTGCTGCCCCCGTGACCCGACTCCGGATAAGCAGAAGAAGATGGATGGATGGATGGATGGATGGATGGATGCACTGCAGCATTCCTCGTGTGTTTTCACCTGAAGAGGATCAATAAATGCTGTGTGGTCCTCAGCTGAATGCGTAATCATGATTATTATGTTCTCACAATCAAGCAGCACCATGGCCACTGTCCTCAGCATCACCTGTTTCTATCTTCAAAAGGATTTGAGCAAAACATTTTTTGAATCTGTCTGCTTTGAAAACTGCCCATGAGAGACCTTGCTGACCCTTGAGCCTCAATGTTTTAGCTATGACAGCTAGACTGTCTTTCCTCACTTCTCCTTGATAGCAGAGTTTGTTTTTTTCTCATCCTGTTCCATTTTAGTAAACAACTGCATCGACTTATTTATAAAAATGACAGTCGTTAATACCTATTTGTTATAACTGGTTAATCATATGAATCAATGTTATCCTACAAAAAACAATATTTTATGTAAAGCTAAAAGAGAATCCGGTCACAATTAGAGAAGAGCTATCTATTTTGGGATCAAAATCTACAGAATTTGCCAAAATAAAATACATATTGTTAAAATTAGGTCTCATTCTGTTTTACAAACATGCTTCAATTTTGGGTGCCCATCCAAAAGACACAGACCTCTGCCTCTTCTGGTGGCTGAACCCATGCAGTTTTGTTATAATTGTTAAAGTAACTTAAGTTGGAAGAATGAAGGCAACACATGGCCTCCATTATTTTAATTTATGAATCCCTCAAGTTCCAGGGCAAATTGTCCAATTATAACTCTTTTTTTTATTGGTTCTATTTCTAAAAGTGCTCACTGACTCCCTGCTTGGACACCCATGCTTCTGTAGCAGCTCTTTGCTGCTTTTATAGCAGCAGTGTCTGTCCATGTTTAGTTTTTGTGACTGATTGACCAATTAGAAAATTTAAACTGATTAGCTGGCATCTATATGTGTTAGAAAATAACATAGAAAGTCACAAACATTCTTATTTCATATACATCTTATTTTAAAGGTGCAATATGTAAGAAAATAGTGATAATTTTACAGTGAGAAAATCCCAAAATAGTCTAATGTTTCAGTCACTTTGGAAGGAAGGTTCTACTGAAACATACTTCATATCCAGCAGGCTGCGGGGATTGTCAGTTTTTCTCCTTTCAAAACAAAGGAAAGAGGGACGTAACTATTATTTATCATCAGTGAGTGTAAGGTTGTTGTGACTCCTGCGAGCTAATACTGCAGCGCCAACAATTTTTAATCTGACGACAACTGGCAAAAAGCTCCAGAGTTGTTTAAAGTGGTTGCAGTAACCAAATTTTACCTCAGGATGTCAATTGTACTTCATTTTACTTCGTTTCTACATAATGCACCTTTAAATGTATCTATGCATGTACACCTTCAATGTGTGTACTGTGGCAGAAAAAGTTTTAATCACAAATTAACAGCCTTCTACTAATGCTAACTTTTTCCTGAGGACTCCTTAAAGTATGTATAAACATTTTCACCTGTCTAAAACTCTAGTATAATATTGTATATTTATTCATCCTACCCATTAAAAGAAGGCCGACGTATGGAAATTGTTAATGTTGCCAGAAAAACAAAGAAACAAAAAAGGAAAGTAACACTGTGAGAGGAAGGAGGTCAACACAGAAGGGTTGGCAACAAGAAACGAGCCCGGTAGGAAGAGGGGGCAGATGTAGATAAATGAGAGAGAGAACTATGTCAAATGGGACAAGGAGCCATGGGTGAGGTGGCAATGATAAGAACTGCATTAAAAAGGAAAGCAGAACAGGATGGTGTGGATAGAAAGATGGAGCTGTAGGGAGAAATGTGAATGTTTAACTCTGTCTAACTTTCCATTGGTTGCCTTTGGGTCTTACCTCTTTCTGAGGCCTTCTGTTTACCTAAAGGTTAACGAGGGCAACACCTCTGCAGGTGTCTACTAACGTGTGAAGAGGATATTTTAAATGCCCATCCAAATTAGATGCCTTCAAGGGTATGAACCTACATAGACGTGGTTCGGTGTTTCAGACGGTGTCAGCAGAGGAGAAACAAGTTCAGCAGCTTCTCAATTAGAGATGCTGCTAACAGCTCACTGGGAGGAGGGGAAAAATTCTATCTTTTGGAAGTTTTTATGCTCTGTTTAGACACACTGGAACTCCTTGTGTCCCACTATCCACTACTCTGTGTTTTTTATGTACTTTGCAGATAATTAGGTCTTTATATCAAATCTTTTTAGATTTCTGCTCAGCCTCACCACGCGTCATTAAAATTAGAAAGCTCACAATGCAAAGTCACCTTCCTGAGAGAACAGTTTTATGTCCCATGTCAAGCTCGTCAGCTCTTTGAAAACTTATTTCTTACATCAAAAACAACAAAACACAGACTGAAGACTGTAACTTGATGCTTGTTTTGCTTTTAACAGGCTGTGACTGGCCCCATCCCAAGATGGCGTCTCCTAAAACTAAAGCCAAGAAGAAACCACCAAAAGACAGCATGACACTGCTGCCATGCTTTTATTTTGTAGAGGTATGGATACATCTGAGGAATCAGAGCCTGATATCAGCCATTAAATCTGAGTTTTGTTACACAGAAACTGACGTTTCTATGTTTGTGTGTATAAATGAAATGTTCTACAGAGAAAAGAGGAATGTTTTAACTTAATGAATATTTCCTGTCCAAGCAAAAATGAAACTCTAGTGACCTTTTGCTTTGCTCTTGGACTTGCTGATGCGTTGGGAATTTAAATTGATCTGTCTGCACGTACCTCTCTAGCTCCCCATCGTCCTGTCCTCCTTGGTGTCCCTGTACTTCCTGGAGTTGACAGACGTCTTGTCCCCAGCAATGGTGGGCTTCCGTTGCTATGACCGCGACCTCTCCATGCCCTACGTGGAGACGGGAGATGAGCTCATCCCTTTGCTGATGTTGCTGAGTTTGGCGTTCGCCGGTCCAGCAGCTTCCGTAAGTCTGTCCACAGATTGATCTCATCAGCTAATTTCTTTGTTTCGGTCAGATCATTAGCTCCGTATTGGTCTTGTGTACATTTAGTTGCATTCAAAGATTACATAGATGTTGAAAACTTAAGCTTTTTCCACTTCAGATGTCACCTGCAAGAGAAAGGCTTTTACCACCAACAACCTTTACAGTTCAGAGAAGCATTAGAATCTATTAGGAGCCTTTTTTACTGCAGCTAATGAATAAAACATGCTTTCTGCTCCTGTGAGTGATCTTTTGATTTGCAGCTGGACCACCAAATCAGCTATCTAAAGTAAGCTAAAAAAAAAATTTGAGCAATTATTCCCCATGGGTTTGTTGCCAAGTGACATTCGATCGATTCCTGGTGTACAAATGTTAGCTATAGCTGCACACGCTCATCCCACAGGGATGAAATCTCTGTGTAACAGTTGCAGTGACCTTATATCATTGAGATGATTATAAGTTCTCACACCATCTACAAACATTCTTTAAAAGTCACCCAAACGAGCACATTTCTTGAATCATCCCAGATGCGATTTAACGTCTCCTCAATCAATGTACGTATTGATAAATATACACCATGGGTTCCCAAACACATTATCAAACACACCACAGGCCTCCTCGATCGATACTCACTGACACACACACTGCCAATCCATCAGCAGCCAGGAAACGAACAAACCTCTTCAACGCTCATTCGTCATTCTGATTGGAAGTGATCACTGTTCAATAGCACCTTGCCTCCATTTTTTGCCCGCTGTACCCTCCCACAGTAGATCACCGTTACTGACATTTATATCTGATGTTAATGGCACTTTTACCCTAATTCTTCCAGCCTGTTCTTTTTTTTCCCCTGCTTAGCGAATAAAACTGCAAAACACAATTAACGACATCTTCGTTTTGCTGTTTTTAACTGCCGGCTGTAGATTATGCTGGGAGAGGCTCTGATGTACTGCATGCAGTCCAAACTGAAGACTTGTCCCAAGTCAGAGGGCAGCATAAACGCTGGAGGATGCAGCTTCAACTCTTTCCTGCGCAGGACTGTGCGATTTGTTGGTGAGTCCAACTATGAATGTTTTTGGAAGCTATTAATGACCTTACTGTGTAATCTGGTTGTCCTTCAGGCTGCTGAAGTATCACATGATGCTCACACTCAGTTAACCCGTTAATGAAAGTGAGAAAAATCACAAGTTTCTTGCCAAATAATGAGCCAACTCTATTCACCTGTGTATTTCATATAAAGCTTTAATATCTTATGTCAAACATTTCACACTATGTTACCATCACGTTACCATAATCGGCATTTATTAACATAATAATTAATATATTGTTCATTACTGCATAGAAATATCAACAACTATCAAAGGGAGCTTTTTTATACAGCAGTAATTACTTTGATACATTTGTGTGTGTGTGTGTGTGTGTGTGTGTGTGTGTGTGTGTGTGTGTGTGTGTGTGTGTGTGTGTGTGTGTGTGTGTGCGTGCGTGCACGTGTGTGTGCGTGCGTGCGTGTGCGTGTGTGCGTGTGTGTGTGTGTGTGTGTGTGTGTGTGTGTGTGTGTGTGTGTGTGTGTGTGTGTGAGAGAGAGAGAGAGAGAGAGAGAGAGAGAGAGAGAGAGAGGGGGTTGGGGTTAGGTGGAGTAGATGGAGTCAGAGTTAGGGTCAGGGTCAGGGTTTGGGTAGGGGTGGGGTGTTAAATAATGTTAAGTAATATTTAAGCAACATATTATATTGATGTTTTTAAAGTAATAGTGTAGAACTTTAACTTCCATTATCCCAAGATTATTATTATTATTTACTAGGGTTTTTATTTATTTTTTGTTTGTTTGTTTAGAGACTGAAATGGACTCTACCAAGTGGTTGACATCTAAATGTTGCAGTTTGCAAATCGTTCTTTTAGTTAAAGGGCAGAATACTCTAATGCCACATTTACCTTGTAGTTGTTGAATAAAGGCAGATTGGGTGGTCAAATGTAGAATACTAAAATGTCAGTGCTGTGTCTGAGCTGCTTTCTGGTAATTTTGAAAAAAGTGAGGTAGAAATGGTTGGTTCTGAGAAAAGCTGCTTTGTTATGCTGTAAACAAGTCATGCCTCCTCACATTTGCATTTTCCAACCCACTCCAGCGCATAAATACTGGTTGTGGTAATGCTAGCCACAGAACACCACATGGCCAAACTGCTGCTGATACTAGCCTGAGCTGCTTATGCTCTTGATGGACAAGAGGAAGACAACATACAAGAATGTTGGAGCACGACTCACATTCCAGGATTTACTGGGAATATCGATGAATAAAGTCCAGTTTAATCCATAGCTTGTGGCCCTCGTCACTTTGTCCCTTGTTTGTCCTCTCCCACACACACACACGCACGCACACACACACACACACACACACACACACACACACACACACACACACACACACACACACACACACACACACACACACAACCATCACCACTCCCACCACAATAAATTAAATGTTTCCCCCACAACTAGCAACACTGGTCAGTACAAAAATGCTGTGATTGCTTCCTTTTTCAATTAGCTGAAATATATGTGTCGCAGCAGGGTTAGGGTTTTAGTCAGACCATCACAACAGATTATTGGGGCTGCTGGGGAAGGGTATTTTGTTGGAGTCAATCCTTTTTTTTTCTGTTAAGAAAATATTTGATGAAAAATTTGGTGGAAATAAAAAAACAATTTATCAAAGTTAGTTAACACTAATATGTCTATATTTCTGTTATTTATTTATTTATTCCTGATATTGGGCTAAAACGTGCTGTTGTAGCTTCTGGCAGCCATCTACAACAGAAAGGGGGCAAATGGACAATCTGTGTATTCTGTAATGGTCCAGAATGACCATCTACCTAAACCGATCAGTCATCCTGGTTTATTAATCAGTAACATCAGCAACCTTACAATCCACTTTAGCTCGTGGCACTAGAATAATGATGAGTGAAAATGTGTCAAAACCAACAAAGAAGAATCAAACTGTTGCAGGAACATCTGCAACAGGAGAAGCCAAAGACTAGCCTCTTTTAAATGATGCATCACAACATCAAATGTTCACAGAGTTTTGTTGCTGAATTCAGTTCTAGATATCAACCAAAGCACAGCATGATCCAAACTTATGAGGAACAGGAGGACGTTTAAGCTGAGAAATGTCTAGAGGCTGGATGTGATGAGGGACAGACAGAAGACAACGTTTCTTCTCAGTAAACTGTTAGAGACCAGGCAGGGACATGAACGTAAACAGTCTGAAACCTGTTATCCTTCTTACTCAGTCAGCCAATCAACTCATGTTAACTGGATTTACATGATGATGATGATGATAAATGTGTGGTTTAGTGCTATTAATCTAATGTGTCAGATTCTAAAGGTGGCTTTAAATCAATTTAAACATGTCAAAAATTAAGTCCTGTCATTTAATTTTGTAGCTGCTAACACTTTGTTTTCTGCAGAGCAAAACTGGTCCAGGGTTTAAATTACACTGGAGAACATGAGATACTTGTACCACTCTGAACATGTTAGGAAGTGGGACTGAAGCATGGCATTATGGGTATTAGACCTTTGCATTAGTGCTGTTTGTTGCTCTTAATTCTGTTACAGTTGCTGCCTATTTGTCCCGAGAGCAGGAGTTCAGGACCATGGCCAGCGCCATCCCATCCTCCCATTTCACTAGAAAAAAATAACTTAAATCTTGAATTTCTTTCTTTTAACTTTCACTTGAACATTTCAACTTCATGATAACACATTTTTTCTTATTAGTGTTCCAAATAGGTATTCATACAAAACAGCATGCTGTGTTAGTTGAAAATATTGGATAATCCAATTTAGCCCAAATCACGTAGTACCTGGTAGTTGGCAAACCAAGTCACACATGCTCATTATGTTTATGTATTTATTTTAAGTTTAATTTAAAAATCTACTGGTTGTGGTTTTTGCTGTTTTTTGTTTTTATTTTTTTTATTATTATTTTTTTGTTCCATGTTCTCATAAATGTTTTATTTTTATTTATTTATTTATATTTTTAGATCATTTACCAAAGCTGCAAACACCTCTGTGCTCTCTTACCTCTCTCCCCCAGGTGTTCATGTGTTTGGTCTCCTGGCAACAGCCCTAGTGACAGATGTCATCCAGTTAGCGACCGGTTACCACGCCCCGTTCTTCCTCACCGTATGCCAGCCCAATTACACAGCCCCTGGGGTGTCATGTGACAACAATGCTTACATCACGCAGAACATCTGCATGGGGAAAGATCAATATGCCATCATGTCAGCCAGGTAAATGATCATTGCTCAGTACTCAGTACTATAAAATATGCAACCCTGCATAAAAAACACACATTCTTAACCAAACGTTTATCATGATGGTAAAAGGAACTGCACCGTATAGTAAACATTGTCCATTTTTAAACTGGCAATGAATCATCAACGCCAATTAGCATTTTAAAGAATTAAAACAAATTGTTGGCTGGTATCTTTTTAAAGTAACAGAAAAAATGTTGACTAGTGGAGTCAATTGAAGTAGGTTGCTTTCAGATTTTATAGCTTTTTTCCATCAAATGCTCTTCAGGGACGTGCTTTGTTACAGACACCCAAACAGCAGATCCGACAAACACGCTCCAGTGAGAGAGACTTAATAAATTCAGGCACACAGGAAAGATTACAGCTGTACTGAACTAATGCGAGGATAATCCCGGTGTTTGTAGTACAAGTGCACATGTTAGCTCTTCTATACTGAAGAGGAACCAGAATCAGGAAAACCTGAACGGATGGGTAATTTTAGATTTCATTGTATAACCCTGACAAATAATTGTTTTATTACTGAAAAAAAAAACAAAGCTTTAGTTTAAAGCAGATCATAGAGATTATTCAGATATTTTGACGCAGCGTTCTGCAGAGAGAAGATGATCGTATATGGTCTCACCTGAAATAATAACATTGAGCAGACTCAGTTTGGATAAATTAAGATCATGCCTTTAATTGGCTGGGATTTGACGAATTGGAGACACAAAATTAGCAGAAATTTTGCTATATAGTACCACAATGACTGTTTTTGGATTTTCAACTAATTTTATTTACAATTTCTTGCATTTCTGAACTGTGGAATATAAATTTAGGAACATTTGACAAGAAGTCAAGCTGATCCCGGATGCACACACACACATCCCTCCTGCAACTGTTTTGAGAAAATCCATGTAACATTTTAAACATGTTTTAACTGCCAAAATGGACTGCTGCCATTCTATGACAACTCCAAACTCTAACAGTTCAGCAAGGCTTATGAAAACACAGCTTAATGATATTTTAAACACTTTTAGGTATAGGTTAGGTGCTGCTGCTTGCAAATAATCATATATGTTTATGTAAATAACCATAAATCATATTTACACCAATATAAATGTTTTAAAATGGAGTTCACATGAATTAAACCTTAAACATTATAGTTTTTTTTAAAGATGTCTGCAACCCACTGACTTTTCGAAGTTTAGCTTTTAGCTTGTTTGTCTGTTAAACACCTCACTTGAACTTAACTCTCATTCTCTTTATAACACAAATTCTGAGTTTTTTATTTACTTTGTGTTTATTAAACCTCAAATCCAAGGACAAACACTGCAGTTGGTTAGGCACATTAGTTGGGTGTGTTATACAAACATGACATCACACATAAAATGAGCAGGAGCAAACAGTTATACATCAAACAGTTTAATAAAAGCATCAATCTTTACTTATTCTTTTCTCCTTTATTCTCCTAGAAAAACATTTCCATCCCAACATGCAACGCTGTCTGGATTTGCTGCTGTGTACATCTCGGTAAGCACTCTTTTTTTCCTTCCATTGGATACGATGCATTTGTAAGACGTGGCTATGGATGAGTGCTGTTGAAATATTTTATTTTGCAAAATCCTGAGTGACACAATGAATAACCACAAAAATTGTGTCACACCATCATATCACATCAAGAAAAAACAGATTTAGATTTTAAGTGTTTGATCTTTATCCTGTTTGTTCATCGTAGAAAATATTTCTCAGTGTTTTGCCTTTCCGCAGTGTGACACCAGTATCTGCTGTGTTTAAACAGTGTTGCAAAATAGCATTGTCATCTTTCCAAAATGAAACCCTCCCTCACACACAAACACACACACACACACCCTCTTCCACTGGTATCTATTGCAAGCTACAGGCCACATCACTGCTGCTTCACTGCCCAGTGTGTCCTCATTAAAACTCACTAGACTGACTAGATTTCTGGTGAAGGGCAGGGAAGAGAGCAGCTGTTAAACCTGACAGAGTACCAACATGTCATCACAGCTTTACACTGATAACTTTCTACCAGTCCATCCCTTTAGGACATTGTTATTATAGCATAATGTAGTAATTATCCATGTTAATAACTCTTTAAAATCTTTCTAGAAAGCAAAATTTCTTCTCAAACATTACAAAAATATCTAGAAGCTTTGAGAAGATCTACATCGAATTCCTTCTTGCTGACAGGTTTCCCCTCTTGTTTCAAGAAGAGCAGGGTTTTGTGCTTGGTAGCCCATGGACAAGCTTATTAAAAAGGTTCTCTTTTTTTGCAAAGCCTGCCATTCTGTCACTCAGCTGTCCTGTATTTTATATAAGCAAAACACCACGTGCATGCTCAGAATGTAAATGTACAGAAAAAATGTATTCTAGCTATTTTTCCAGCCGAGCCTGCTCACTCCTCAACTCTGTTTTGCTGACAAAAAGATATCCAACCAGTCAACTGTAGCTATATGCTTCATGCATTGTTTCACAAGCTAAATGCTAACAATTCTTCAACCATAAATGCATCAGTCTAATAAGTATTTTATTGTTGGAAGTTCTCTATTTCTAAAAATGTAATCTACCTTTATAAAAGTGAAATGAGTAAGATTTTATTTTCTTATTACTTAAAATCTATGGCTAGCTCATCATAGTGGAGAGACCATCACAGACCTCTCAAGTCTCACCCACTGAGGGTACGCATGAGTTCACAACAAATGTGACACTAGGAGGTGAGAAAGCCTAATACATAGGATTAATTGGCTATATACATTATTGGGTGACTACTTTATCCTACTGCTGTTTTGAATTAGCAACCTATCAGTCAATGAAAAAGTAAAATTTTGTGTTGCCATGGTAAAATCTGAGCCCTTTGATGTATTGGCCAATGCTTCTTAACTTTCTAACATAGCATGGCTATATATATTCTGCCAGCGTGCCCCAGGGCAGCTGTGGCTACAATGTAGCTCATCCCCACCAGCGTGTGGATGTGTGCATGAATGGATGAATGACTGTGTGGTGAAGCACCTTGGGGGATTGTAGAACCCTAAGAAGGCGCTATGCAAATACAAGCCATTTACCATTTTTATAATTTATTGTGGAGATTTAAAAAATGTAATTAAGTGGTATTCTCTCATTTGTATTAAAACCTTCGCCAGTAACCATACCGAAAGCAACTATTGGACCATTCGGTTGTTGTTCTCCACTCATTATGCTCTCACATATTTAGCAACAGAACACCACTGGTGTGAGAGGTTTTTAGTTCACAGAAGGAGAAACAGTTGGCTGCTATTCAACTTTAGGACAAAAACCAGATTCCCAAAATAAAAGACACAATTTAAATCACAGACAGCTAAATAGGTTTGGACCAGAAATGTGCAACAGGTGTTTAGCATCAATGGGTTTTGTCTGGCATAGTAGGTTTCCAGCACCTCAGGGAAGATACTTGAGGGGAGGGGTGAGCGTTCTGTGACTGTGTTTGCCTTCAAAACCTAGATTGTCTCTAGATTCACCAAAAAAGCTTTAAAATATCATCCATAAGCTAAGAAGCACACTCAAACGCAAAAATGTGTAATGCCAAATTGGGGCCAAACGTCTTTTTGTTAGGTCATTTGATTTCTAATGAACAAATTAAAATATGATAAATTTAGCTGAGCGTTTCCTTCATAAAACCATCAACCATTTTGATTTTGATTCATTTTGATCAAGATTTAAAAATGTTCAGATGTTTAAGGAACAATTATATTTGGGAGAATTTGGTAGAGAAGAGGTTAATTGTGGCTAAAATGCACTAAATGTTGAGTCTTCCCTGAACAATAAATCTAATATAACTCTAAATGTTTCATGTAACCTGACAGTTCTGTAAGCTAAGAGAAAAGATAACAATTACAGAACTACTGTTGTTGGTCAGACGGTTGGTCGGATAGCTGACTGGCTGGCTGGCTGGTTAATTGGCAGGCTGGCTTGTTGATTGGCTTGGTTGGTTGTTCGTTTGGCTGGCTGGTTGGTTGGTTGGTTGGTTGGTTGGTTGGTTGGTTGGTTGGTTCGCTGGTTGGTTGGTTGGTTGGTTGGTTGGTTGGTTGGTTGGTTGGCTGGTTGGCTGGTTGGCTGGTTGGCTCGTTGATTGGTTCGTTGGTTGGTTGGTTGGTTGGTTGGTTGGTTGGTTGGTTGGTTGGTTGGTCGGTCGGTTGGTTGGTTGGTGTGTAAACTTCATTTAATCAGATTACATTTTTATTTTTGACAAAAGATGGCAGATCTTTGCTGTTTCAATGAACTTTGGGTCATGCTAAGCAAAACTAGCTGTAATGTTTCATTTCATATTGAAAGTTTTTGAAAATGATCAGACAGTTCATTTAATATTCACTATATTTAGTTAGTTTACTGTAATTAATTGATGCTGTGTGTCATTCTGCCATCTGTTAATGGCTCTTGCTTCTATATGTCTGAACTAACTAATGTTTTTCTAATGTGTGTATACCTGTGTGTAGATGTACTTCAACGCCAGCATCAATGGCACCACTAAGCTGTTGAAGCCCCTGCTGGTGTTTGCTTTCTGCATGGCAGCAGGCCTCGCTGGTTTGACACAGATAACGCAACACCGCAGTCACCCTATTGATGTCTACGTGGGATATCTCATAGGAGCTGGCATCGGAGTCTATCTGGTTAGTGGGCTTGCTCCTTCAGTCATTTAACCTTGATAAAATGTGAAATTATAATAAATATTGTCTTTTTTTTCATGATAATTCAGATGACTAAAGGCTGAAATGAGTTTGCCTGAGAATTGATTCACTTTATATTGCAAACTGATGCTTGGATAGCCTGGCAAGCCAGACTAAATAAATGTATTATTTAGTCTGGCCATGCTCCATTGCCGGCTCTCGGTTGTGGGGCGGGTTCTACCGTTGTCTTTCAAATGATCTCCGCATGCTACTGGACAATGAATGTGACATACTCTTGTTTCACTCTGTTGCATCATCCCACCCACCAGGCATATAGAGTGCCCTGATTGGCCCACAAAGCGGATAAAGCTCTGTGATTTGTTCACTAAGCAGATAGAGCACTATGATTGGCCCACCATTATGGACCAATCACAGCTCTTTATGTGTTTGAAACCCCTCTAGAGAGCTGTGATTGGCCAGCCAGAGTCCTGGTAGGAGCTGCTGAGGTTCCAATCGAGCATGCCTAGACCAAACTTTGCAAAGCAAGAATTTGGTCTAGTACACTAGGCTGATGCTTGGATGCATTTTAGAATTTGTTTTCTTCTCAGAGGAAATAAAAGCCAAAATTCTGCATGGTGGAAATGACAACAAACACATAAATAGATGTTAGAAATGTATTTGTTTTGTTGTTTCCAAATCGTCCTTTTGTTTCTCTTCTAACACCATCACAGCATGTGCTAAAAATGTCCTTTTTTCACCACCTCTCCTGTCTGTGTGGCTTCTATACTTTTCTCTCCCAGCATTTTTGTTCTTTTTTTGTTAGATTTTGGCAGGCTATATATAGCTTTTTCTATTACCAAGGAAAGAGAGAGGGCACGAATAATCCTATAAGATTTCTCTGAACAATTTCACACTTCATTTTAAGAAAACTTGTCATTATCATTTTTCATGCTTCTCCTTCTCTTTTTTGCACACTTTATTAGAAGAGGTCAGTTTTTCAAATGTCATTAAAAGATGACAAGAAAGAAGAGGGTGATTCGTGCTGACCTCAGGGATAATCCAGTGAAGAAGAGATTCATAACCTCTAATAAATAAAACTTGATTTTTTTTTCCTTTTCTGAAGATTAAAAAACAATTCACATTCATGTTCTACCTTTTAAGACTCTAGTTGCTGTTTCTTCAATTATTTCTCTTTCATGTGTGTCTTTCCTCTGCTAGGCTGTGTATGCTGTAGGAAACTTCAAAGCATCAGAGGAAGATGCACCCTCTTTGCAGAGACTGTCTTCTGTCCAACAGAAGGACGGTCTAAGGGTGCTGAGCCAGCGCAGCCATGATTCCCTGTACAGAAAGACTCCCAGGGTGTCTGAAAGCAGGGAGGAGCTGGGGGCTGGACTGGGGTCCGGAGCCCGCAGTAAGGTGAGAAGGGAGAAGGCATCCCTGGCCTCCCTAAAACGAGCAAGTGCTGATGTAGAGCTCCTGGCAACCCGTGGGCCAATGGGCAAGGAAACCATGGTAACCTTCAGCAACACCTTGCCTCGAGTTGCAAATGGAAATAGCCCAATCTCACCCTCTGATGAGTCGATCCCCACCCAGCGTCACATGACCTTCCACGTGCCCTTTGACCCACAGAGGTCTCGACAACTGGTGTCGGAGTGGAAGCAGCGCTCACTGGAGCTCCGCAGCCAGAGCTCACGAGAAGAAGATGAGGGCATAGATGAAAGAGACCCAGGAGGTGAAGGAGCAACAGCTGCAGTAGACGGCGAGAACAAGACCATGCCTTCATCTCTTTACCCCACAGTGCAAGCCAACAACAGCATGACCACATCGGCTGGGGGCAGGATGGCTGTGGCACCTCCACTGGTTCACATTCCTGAGGAGGCCACGAGGCCACCACCCGTTTCACCCAAGAGTGCCAAGACACGAGCCAAGTGGTTGTCACTCACTGAGGGGGGAATGGTGAAGGAGCCCGGACAAGGACCCATTGCGGTGTCAACTCCCCGCGTGCCAAACACTCAACCCAGCCAACCCCCCAGCCAGCAAAGAGTCACTCAGGTATGGCAGAAAAGGATTGTCATCAGACAATCAGAATTACTTTATGGTGAGAGGTGATATTCCAAAGTGGGTTTTTTTTTCCAAGGCACATAGCCAACCCCGGGCTTACAGCTCTGAACAGGAGAGAAGTTTTAGCCACTGTTACTAAGCTAACTATCTTATATGTGCGTACTGTATTGTGTTCAGCACATTGGGCTGCATTTACTGGTGGCAGGAAGGTGCTTTATAAATAAACTGATTGGTTTAATCATAAGCTTTATCAGGCCAGAATGATTCTGGAGGAATCACTTTTCCCTGGTTAGTTTTCATCATTTGTGCATTCATTGTGGTTCAAACAGGATTTAAATGTGGTGTTATATATCAGAGTCTGTATGAAGTACTGTCACTCAAAACAGCTTCTTGGCTCTGTTTTTATACCACCCAGGAGACATTTTGCTGTAGTCAGCAGCTGTTTTACGTCTAAGTGCTGATGAGACGCTGCGTCTTCCTTGCAGGTGATTGCCATGTCGAAGCAGCAGGGCCATGGACCAGTCGCTTCAACCGCCAAGACATCAGAAGGCGGCTCCTCCTCCGGCGCTGGCTCCAACTGCTCCGAGTCACCATATTACCGCATCCCATCTGATCGAGACAGCTGCACTGGAAGCAATCCTGGGAGCGTCGCGGGCAGCGGGAGCATCGTCACAATCGACGCTCACGCTCCTCACCACCCAGTGGTGCGCGTGTCAGCGACTAATGGTAAGCCGTGGGAGTGGAGGAACACCATCAGTGGAAACATGATGACCTGCGACCCTGCGGGTGACAAACATCGCGCGGCGCTGCAGCGACAGGACAATGTCAGCCACTACCGGGATTACCGGACGCTCCCAGTGAAGACAGACTCTCTGTGCTCATCCACAACCAGTGGGAGTGCTGACGGAGGAGCAGAGCTTCCTCCCCCACCCCTTCCCACTGCATCCTCCCCTCTCCCTCCTCCACCTCAGCTGTCATCATCTCCTCTTCCACCTCCACCACCCCCTCAATCATCTTCCTCCCCCTTGCTTCCCCGTCCACACTCAAGCTCCTCCCCAACGCCGCCACCTCCTCCCCCTCATTCCCCTTCTCCCCATTTGCCTCCACCCCCTCACCCATCTTCTCAGATTTCTCCATCTCTTCTTGCACCGACCTCCCAGATGCCACCACCCCCTCACCCTTCCTCCTCCCAAATGCCCCCTCCACCTCATTCGTCTTCTTCCCCACTGCCACCTCCTCCTCATCCTTCCTCCGTGCCTGTGCCTCCTCACCCGTCTTGCTCCAGCATGCTCCCCCCTCCTCCCCACCCTGACCTGTTGATAGATGGCCATGGCCAGACCATGTCCCGCTCTTCCACGCTCCCTCGTCGGCCCTCCGTCTCTGCCCGCAGCCACGCTGAGCAGGAGCACTACTATAAGGCCATGCAGAATGAGAGGATGTTATAGTAACCTGGAAAACAGACAGACATCATTTTAGGACGGGAGAAAAGAAAGAACTGAAGAAGACGGTTAAACAAAGTCATGACAGGTGAATAGAGATGACTCTTTAAAAAGATGACAAAAAGATTTAGAGCCACCAGAGCGGCTTTGGGACTTTTGGGAGGTCTGGCAGCTTACAAACTCAGCAGGGAATCTGATTTTTCTCTTCTTCTTTTTTTTTCTTTGATCACATTTACTGCCACAGCGCCAGCTGCGACTGGAAAAAGAACTGGCAGGACAAGAAAGGACAGGATGGCAAAAAAAGAAAGATATATGGTTTGCCTCCAGTTTTTAGGATCTTCCTTTTTAAGGTGCGTTCAACGAAAGAACTGAAGAAGCCGCAGCTGAAAGAGAGATATCACAATGAACAGCCAGGATTTGCTAAATCGAGTTTCCATTGTGAGGTGAAATACGGCTGGGATAAAAATGTGCTCATCCTAAACCAGAGCCTTCCCCAGAGAGCTTTTATCTAGCTGAAACACTCGTGCAAAAAGTAGCTTTGAATAAGGTAACTCTGTTAAGGTTGGTTTATGCTTGACGCGTCCGCGAGGTCCGCACGGCTCCGCGCGGAAAAGTTGCGTCATTTTAACAACCACGCCCCTCCACCGCGCCTCCGCACGGCCCAGAATTTCCGCAACGCGCACCTCGGAAAATTTCTAACCACGCGGACGGACGGACGCGGAAAAACATGGCAGACCGGCAAGAACCAGTATGGCAGAGGTTCGTAAATACAGACATTTGTATGATTCAGCTCTCAGAGATCACCGTGATCAACATGTAGTTAATAATTCTTGGAGTGAAATAGCTCGCACTGTCGGAAAAGACGAGGATGCTGTTAAAAATGCTGAAATGCCATGTTGTAAACAGTAATTTCTACTTCTACTATGGTGTAGTGTTGGGTGCATGTCGTAGAGCTCCATGCTGCCCCGTTCAGTTTGGGAGGATATTGGCTCACCGCAGAGACAAGCCGCACGAACCAGAAACGCTGCGAGTTGTGAAGCGCGTTCCATCCGCGAGCCGCATCACCCCGCGGAAAGTGAATGCGTCAAGCATAAACCAAGCTTAAAGGTCAACAACAGGTTTAGCAGCATTACTCACACTGCAACAAGCATGAGAAGTCCACACCACCAAGCGAACAAACCCAACGAGGAATTTTCATTAAAATTCCAAGTGAGTGTGTCTGAATCCAACAGAGGGAGTCGAATTAAGAAAGCGTGATTCTGGGTGTAGAAGGAGGACCGTGCACAGTTGGGTAACCCTGAACAGATGTCACCAAGTAGAATAAATGTCATAAAGATAAAGATGGTGGTGAGGTCACGCAGCACAAAGAGTCATGGTTTGTTTTTGCTGCAAATAAACCCTTCCACAAAACGGGGCTTTAATCTGAAATATTTGTTGTGAAGTCGAGGCTAACACACCAATCCTGTTAGCGGCAGGACTGTCAGTAACTGGGTACCAAGCCAATAGCAATTCTCGGCGTACGTTCCAGTGTGTTCACTAAGAAGGAGGGGAACGGATGAAGCTAAATGGTTTTAAAAACAAGTTTACATCTTTTTTAGAACTTTTGAGTGTTTTTGTTGAAAAAGAAATGAAGAAAAAATATCTTTTAACATCCATTTTTGGTCTACATAATTTTTCTATCATATTTGTTCAGTCTATTGCCATTTTTATTGTTTTGCAAAATATGCACACTTTTGATTATAATTATGGCCATTAGCATTTTAATATTTCAAGCCTGATGCAACATGAGCATCACATGAGATGCTAGAGGCACACACTGCATATCTGAAATAACAGAAAAGTTGGTGAGATTGAATTCAAGTGGGTCCTGTTCAGAGCCTTCAATGCAGATGTGGCCATTAGGAGCTGTGGCCAGAAGGTCCTTGATTGTAACTGGGGCAAGGTTGTCCCAGAAGATCTCTGGAGGGACTCACGGGTACCAAATGACCCCAAAGACTGCAGCTTCGGTGGAAGCAGAAGCCATGGAGAAAGGCTGAGTTGGCCTCAAAGAGGTTGTGGCAAAGTGAATGGAAGGCTTGTCCAAGGCTGTTTGGTTTAGGCAGGGAACCAATGATTTAGATCAAGGACATTGTCAGGTGTTGATCCACTCATAATAAACTTTGAATTTAAGGGGTTGTGTGTCCGTTTCCTTGGCAGAAGTTGCCACGGTAGTCAAAAAGTTCCTCACTTGTAGAGTGGCAGACTCAGGTGGTGGCCTTTTTAAAAAATGTAAACTTGACACGTGGTTCTCACAATTAAAAAGTAACCCAGGAAAGTCGACTCTGAGGTAATACAAAGGCGGCTCTGACAGGTTATTGAATCTTCAAATGAGAAGGGCATGTTTGGCTGGGTTGTGGAACTGTGCAGATCTTCAACATTTGGAGTGTTGTTCAGAGGCTTGTGGGAGTTAGAAGTTCTGGGCAGCATCTTTTTGAGGATCTATAGAAAGTTTACAACCATGTTCACCAAGAGGGAGGGAGTCTGAGGTGCCAGGGTCCCTTTTGATGACTATCCAGTTCTTATACAATCACAGCAATGTAATGTCAGCACTAAAGTCTAGTTTATACGTCTCTGTCACGTTTGCACACAAACACACACAAACACAAACACACACACACACACACACACATGTAGTAATGGAGAAGTTTTCCGTTAATACTTCTCCACTGGTGTGTCAGTGTTGCCAGAATGGCAGGGGGCATAGACCTTTTCTGGTGGTTCCATTGCAGTGACGTCTCTGGTCAAGACATTTTTGTTTACTTCAAATGTCTTGAAGGATTTTTTAAAAGACATTTTGAGATTCTTGTGTTGATTTTGGAATTTGTCATTGTTTTGTAAAGTAATGATTATAAAAAAAAAAGACTTGTAAATGCCAGTCTACTCAAGGTGCAATGGCCGACATAGAGCGAGTTTTCATTAAGATGGGACTGCTTGGTGTTGAGGCAAAAAACTTTTTGTTACAAAAAAATTCAACTTAAATGAATCCACTGACGTCACAGCTGTTGTTGGGTCAACCAATCACAGACGTGTGCCCTCCGTTGCATTCAACAGATGGTTAAAAAAGTGGACTCTAGTCTGTCCTTGCATGCCTGTTGGAGAGCCCTTGCATTGAGGGATAAAGGCATTGCGTGTCTCTGCACCTCCGCAGATTGAAAAGTATAAACTAGGCTGGAGTCAAGCTTGTTCCTGGGCTGGGTCAGAGTCCTCCAGTACTGTCCCTTGTCTTCAATCACACCTGTGGTGGTCACGAACAGGATCTCAGAGCCTAGTCATAGAAAGGAGGCTGTCTGGTTTGGGAACCTCAGGGTCTCACCCCAGATCCATAAATGGCGTTTTACTTTAGAAGGTCCACACTCGGGCTCAAAAATAAGGTAGATTTGCTTCTCCTCCTCATCAAAAAGAGCTAACTGAGGTGGTGTGGGGTATCTAATTAGGTTGACCCCCCCTCTGGAGGTTTTATTGGTGACTCCCGCTGGGAGAAGACCCCACTCCCCTCTGACTTCACTGGAGGGATTGTGTATCTTCTTTGGCCTGGGAACATCTTGGAATCCCCCAGGAAGAGGTGTGGAATGCTAGCCTAGTGAACTAGACCAAATTCTTGCTTTGCAAAGTTTGGTCTAGGCATGCTCCATTGGAACCACCGTAGCTCCTACCAGGACTCTGGCTGGCCAATCACAACTCTCTAGAGGGGTTTCAAACACATAAAGAGCTGTGATTGGTCCATGATGGTGGGCCAATCACAGTACTCTATAAGCTTAGTGAACAAATCACAGAGCTTTATCCGCTTTGTGGGCCAATCAGGGCACTCTATATGTCTGTTGGGTGGGATGATGCAACAGAGTGAAACAAGAGGATGTCACATTCATTGTCCAGTAGCATGCGGAGATCATTTGAAAGACAACGGTAGGACCCGCCCCACAACCGAGAGCCGTCAATGGAGCGTGGCCAGACTAAATAATACATTTATTTAGTCTGGCTTGCCAGGCTAGTGGAATGCCACTGGGAAAAGAGATTTGTGGGTTATCCTTACTGATCTGCTTAACTTGACAACCGAATGCCAACCAAATGCTTTTACTTCATTTTTCTAATTATTTATAAGCTGAAAACAAAAGCTTAGAAAAAACTGTTGGTGTTATGAGGATGGTCTAAAACAAATGAGTTATTAAGGAAAGAATTCCACATTTAATCTCATGAACTTTTTGTCCAAACTTTTAATTAAAAATTGGGGTCATGATCAAAAACAAAAAAGCAATCTATATTTAAAAAATGGAAAAAAATATTACCTCATTGAAAGATTCATCCAACTTGTCATCAAGCTAATTGTCCATCATTTGCATAACAATAAACAAACTCTATCATTATTATTTTTTTGAGTAGGAGTTGTTTATGCAACCTGTTTGCTCCTCTGTCTCTTGAGCATTTTGAAATCCATGTTGTATAAAGTTGTTATCTGAAATCTTTCTTTTTTTCTGTTACAAATTTATTTTTTTCAGAATCAATTTGTGTTTAATGAACCCTTATTTATTTAAAATGCAACAGACTTATCATACAGGTGAAACTGGTGTCCATCCGAGGGAGCTGGTTTTGTAAAGCCGTCCGAGGAAGAGACTGTGTTAAATGGAACAAGTTGTATTTCATAGAGGCGATCCTTGAAAGAGGAGCTGGTAGATAAAGTTGCTTGTCAGTTTGTGCTGCATGTGTGTACAAATGTGTGTTTTTTTAACTTCTGTGTTTTAAGGGGAGTTTTTTGTCATTTTTAAGTTTGTAAATGTGTAAAAGTTAGAAATAATTTCTACTTGTAGCTTCCTAAAACACCAAAGCTCAAGCTAAAGGCTAGTCTGAATGTAACCAATAGCAAAGTGTTAACATTTGGATGAGCTGCTGTGATATTCTGGATATTGGAGCCGTTTCAGTTGGTACTGGATATATATGTGTGTGTGTGTGTGTGTGTGTGTGTGTGTGTGTGTGTGTGTGTGTGTGTGTGTGTGTGTGTGTGTGTGTGTGTGTGTGTGTATATATATATGTGTGTGTGTGTGTGTGTGTGTGTGTGTGTGTGTGTGTGTGTGTGTGTGTGTGTGTGTGTGTGTGTGTGTGTGTGTGTGTGTGTGTGTGTGTGTATGTGTGTTTATATATACATATATATATATATATATATATATATGTATATATATATATATATACATATATATATGTATATGTATATTTATATACTTTAATACCCTTTAATTATGCATTACTTTGTTATTTATGCAGAAATAATATACATAATATGAACTCAAGTTAACATTTTGCTTTTGCTAGTGATATTTACATTTGTAATTAATAGTAGAACTGGAAAAGAGGCTAAACTTGTACGGTAATTGACCAAAGAAGCAATGAAGATAGTTTTCCTGGTCTGGAATTCACCACCACTGAAACTGTTTTAGCTGTTCAGGTTAAAGTTATTCAGTGATTATGTTTTTATGAATTTTTTTTAAATTATTGCTCTTTAAAATAAATCCTAATCAGACAAAATTTAGTATCAGGAGATCAGAGCTGTAAACAAATCCAAACCAGAATCAGTGTGTTTTCATCAGAATTCTATGTAAACGTTTATTTAAGAACATTTGCCTGGAATTCTGTGGAATTTAGAGGATTGTTGCTGTTTTAAAATTGTGGCAAAAAAATACTTTGGATTTTTTTGCACTCAGACTAGCTGCTAGCTTATCAGTCCTGTCCTATGTAAATACTAGTTTGCTTAACTGAGCCTTTTCAGGATGTATTTATGACTTTTACACTGAAACTAACTTTAAAAAGACAAAAATATCCCTTTAAGTCAACACTGTTACCTGACAGATTTACTTTCTGGTGAATATGAAGTTTTGCCCATTTTGACTTCCTTAACGTTGTTAATTATATTGTTATAATTCCATTGTCCTCTTTTATGGACTAATGTTTTTTATCTGTGGTGTATAACATTAATAATCTTGTTAATAAAAGAAGACATTTTGAATAATGTTTTGTCTTGTGATGCTTAAAAATGCTGCTTGGGGTGTAAATGTCAGGGTTCAAATAGAGAGAGGACTCGATCCTAGTGCAGCTTTTACCGTCACCCTAATGAAAAGGATCCCTTCCATCGATTCTTGGGTCATGGGAACGTTCATGCTCATTCTAAACCCTCACATAAACACACAGACAGATGGAGCACATTTGAGGTGGAAAATTTGCTGCTTCTGTGTGGGTTAGGGTCACGTTTCTGAAATGAATTCCGCCATATTGTTGGTCACTCCCAAATGACCTACGGCAATGAATGGAGCATCATCTGAGGATGTTTGATGAGTGTGAAAAGTATTCAGAAATAATTTCCACCTCAATTATTGATAATCATTCACAAAGGAAGATGCTTAAGCACGTGAGATTTGAGGTTTATGCATGGTTCAGATGTAGTGAGATCCTGCATCCATCATTTACATCGCTCTGAAGATGCCTGCTTGTGAGAGGCTGCAGAGCAATGAGCTGTGTGATGAGGCTGTGGAGGTAGTAGGGAGCAGATGGTGCACACGAGGCCCGAGGACACTCATTCCGTCCATGACTCACTCTCAGCAAGCTAACAGCTCTTCCTCTCACTGTTTTCTCCCCTCCGTCTCTCATTGGTGGCTCACAAAGTGCTGCACAACAAGTGTATGCATGCAGGAGGCATCGGAAAATGGAAACGGATTTTTTGTGTATGCACGCATATTTTTGTGACTGGTGCAGTGTGTGTGTGTGTGTGTGTGTGTGTGTGTGTGTGTGTGTGTGTGTGTGTGTGTGTGTGTGTGTGTGTGTGTGTGTGTGTGTGTGTGTGTGTGTGTGTGTGTGTGTGTGTGTGTGTGTGTGTGTGTGTGTGTCTGATGGAGAGCGGCTGTCCAGGACAAGCTGCTCACCTCCTTTTCAGGACCGATTTGCCACTGCAAAAGAGCACAAAAGCCTTTTGTGTGAAGCTCCTTTGTTGTGTTTCCCACATTGCCACTATCACTCTACCTTCGGCCACCTCCGTGTCCACCTTAACACACGGAGGAAGGGGATTGAGGACATTACAGCTCATCCTCTGAACATGTTCAGCCTCTTCTAGAAGACGACACCAAGATTTGGTGTCACAAAAATCACTTTAGCTTCACTCTGACAAATAAACTGGGTCACTTTTGTTAAAATTAGACCAATGAATATTAAACATGGTCATTAAAGTGTTTTTGCAGCTTCAGTGTTGTAATAATTAAAGAGCTCCTGTTTAACAGCTTCCTGAAGGGGTTCAGCAACACAAAAGAAATGAATGCTTTTATATTCCCCCTGCTGTAAGAGTTGTCATTCTGATATCAACCCTAAATTAAAATAGGTCTCTGGAGTCCATTAAGTCGAAGACACCCAGCCATTTGTCGACCCACCTGGCTCAGACCTTGCAGAAAACTTTGTGCCTGAACCCAGACCACCTTTAACGTGTCATTCAGGCATCCACCACCACAGCTGGAGGCTCAGGCTGACATTTCCAACAGGTTGGATTCCATGAAAATGCACAGGCTTTATTTCCAACTCTTTGGTGTCCAGAGCAGAAAGTGCATTTTGGAAAATCAATATTTCATCCCGTTTAATGCACATTATATCCACCATGGTGCTTATATGTCTGGATTTATGCCCTCTCTCTTGATGTTTATCACTCACGATGCTTGTATAGGAGGTGACAAATGTCTTACCAGGCTACCTTTGACATTGTCACAGCCCAACCAGGAGTCTGACATTTTCACGAGGTGGTCCTCAAGTCGCAAAGCTGCTGCTGCCTGATAGAAACGTGAGACTTTAGTAATAAAGACCATTTTGTATTCTTGGTTTCTGCAGGGCTGCAAACCGCACTGTAAGGCTGGATGTTCACATCAGCATACTAATTGATATGAAGTGACTGAGCAGAACCTGAGCTTTAATGTGCAGATGGAGTCTGGAGTCCTAGGGTTGGGCATCGTTTGATTTTGAACAATTCCGATTCCAATTCCCCGTTTCGATTCCGGTTCCTATCGATTCCTGATTCCGATTCTTTAAAGACATGACATGTTTTACATGAGCTAACTAACCACAGGTCCTACTTGATGAAATAACCTGAACTTGAACGTGAATTTTAATTCTATGAACAACAACATCACCTTCATTTAGACTAAAACGTTTTGGAGAAAAAAGAAAAAGACTTGCAGCACAACCAGTGTGTTTGTTTCTGACCACAACCAAAGTCTGGAAGAAGCTTCTGGGATGAGAGGCTAAATGTCTCCAACATATCCAGAAACATCCAGCTGTTTTCAGCTAAAACTCTCAGGATGATCATGTCCAGGATGACTGAGAACTACACCTCCGTGCTGCAGCAGCATTCAGTCAGAACAGGAAGTGAAACTTAAATGTAGCTGCTGTCAGCAACAACCTAACAGATTTTAAACATTAAAACTCAACAGAAATAGTTCAGAAAGGAAATTAAAATGTTCACAACTTCGTGTGTGATTTATTATTATTATTGTAATTATTTATGGTGGCAGAAGCTGGTGTGGTCCACCACAGAGAAGCTGCTCTAGCATGATGACTTTAATTATTCTACAGGTTATTGTTCAGCCTTCTGACGCTCACGTGTCTGACCGCTGACGCCAGGCCCGGATTAATGCACAGGCTTGATATGGCTTAAGCCTAGGGGCCCTCATGTGTTCTGGAGCCCCATTGGCGAGCTAAAAATATATGATTTTATTTTAATTTACATGCAAGAATATTCTTCAGTTGTATTGGCCGACAAAGCCATAAGCGACACTGATTGGGTAAACATTGTCTTGTCTTGTCATGTGACACGTCATATTCATGTATCATAGGCTGCTGCACTTAACGAGGGAAAATGAAAAAAATGTCAGAAAAAAAATATGAGAGCAGCGCTCAGAAAAGAAAAACGGAGAGAATTAAAGAACAAAAGCACCCAAATCTTCTGCGGAAAATCCCAAACTTGACAGGATATTTTAAACCTGCTGCTGGACCCAACAGCAGGTTAGAAAAGCAAGACGTTTGCGATGAAGGCAATGGAGCTATGCTAGCTGGAGCAGCAGCGGTTCATGATGCTAGCTCAAAGGAGGGAACGAGCAGTCACAGAGAAGCTGATATTGTCTACTTGGGGGCAGAGGCAGACCTGCTTCAAGTAGTTTCTGATGGGAGCCCGGCAAAAGGTCCTAGCCAGATGACGCTGATGGTGGATGCTAACTTAAACCCGGATCCTGGCTGCTGGGGTGAAATGGATGAAAATACCAGAAAATATTGGATTAAAAAGGAGCTGGTCGTTTGCCGCACTAGAGACGCTGATGTTGCTGCATCGGAGAGACGACACAAACGTCAAAAATGGTACTTATCTAGTCTATGCTTTTTAGAAAATTAGCCAACGGAGAAAGTGTGAAACGTGAATGGCTGCTCTACTCTCCATCCAAAGTAACCATTTTTTGTTTTGCGTGCAAGTTATTTGGAACTGGGAGTCATGTTCAAGTAAACGCATTAGTCTCTGGATACAGCGACTGGGAAAATGCTGGTGTACATTTGTCAGAACATGAAGGGTCAAAGAGCCACAGGAATGCAACAATGATTTATCTCAAGTGGTGTGCTGCTGATGCTGGGTGTATCAATCAGGCACTCAAACAACAGGTTTGACAGCGAGCGTGCTTACTGGAGAGAGGTGCTGCGGAGAGTGATTGTTGTGGTGAGACACCTGTCAGAGCGAGGTTTAGCATTCAGAGGTCATACGGAACTTGTACTTTTTCAGATTGAATCACGGTTAATTCCCAAATACCCTATGATTTATTAGATTAACATTTTTAGTTTTTTGACAGCCCTAATCAAAATAAATATCTGCAGATAAGACCTACCAAGATGGATAAGAAGATTTCGCTTAGACCAAGCCTTTTTGGTCCCGACCAAGTGTAGCCTATGGGCCCCTGCACACCTTAATCCTCCCCTGGCTGACGCTCCGTGTGTTGTTATTTCTGCAGTGAGGCAAACTCCTCTCACACTGTCCAGAGTTTGTTCTTTAAAGCTTCTATTAAATCCACCGTGTTGACGTATTTCAACAAGTTTCCTCTACGCTGCAGGAGTTACAGTTTACATTACAGAGTAAAAGGGTGGGGGGAGGGGGGACTCGGTGCTGCAGACAGACAGCTGGTGTGATCAGCTCTGAAAAGCCTTGATCACAATTTGCAGATCATGTTTATTTTTCACGGAGATCGGCCGCAGATTCCTCTTCCGTCTGACTCTGCACACTAGGAATCGAAATAAAAAATGTTGAGCGATTCCGGGAAAAATGAACAGTTGGAACCGGTTCCAATCGATGCTCGATTCTCGACTCTGGACTATCACTGCACCAACTATCATCTCAATATCTGCAGAGTTAAAGTGCATCTTAAAATGGTAGAAAAACATAATCTAAGGTCAAAAGGTGACTTTGGTTATCCTTCCAGGTTTTCGGATAACTAGCAGGTGTTAAAAAAATACTAAATCAAGGGAAGTGGGCAGGCTTCTCTAAAACACGCGCAGTTTTGGATTCACATGACTTATTACTTACCTCAAGGAAAGCTCAGAGGAAGACGAGCTTGGCGTAAGTTATCTTTAGTTGCTGAAGTAACACCGATTCAACTAGTTCACCGATGGTTAATGTTTGTATATGTTGGGGTTGTACAAACTCCTGTTTGTCTGGGCATCATGTTCATCAATTTCCACAACTGAAAATGAATATGAGAAGTATAGAGATCAGATCGTATAAATGTAAAGGCGACATGGGCTTGGGCTTTCCATCGGCGCTGCTGTAACTGTGGGCTGCCATGTTGGATGGGTCACCATTTGCCCCCAGTGCATTAATTGGGCTAGAAAAATCAATAGTAATCCCACATAACCTGTTTTCAATAGAACACTGGTTGTGCAAAAACAAGATGTTGCCCTGTTTGAATTTGCTAACGCTGCAATGGTCTTTTAACTGGTCTTCCCAAAAAAAGCTGTGAAGCAACTGCAGCTTATTCAGAATGCTGCTGCTAGGGTCTTAACAAGAACCCAGAGAGCCGAGCACATCAGTCCTGTTCTTAAATCTCAACACTGGTTACCAGTAAACTACAGAATCCATTTCTTATTTTTTTTAGTTTAGTTTATTTCAAACAAAGAAAACATACATAATTTTTTTAATACCACAAACAGAAGAAATACATATCATCATCCCTTCTTCTCTGTGTTTCAAAGTATGTCTACTACTTTACAAATCATTCAATGACATGGGGCCAGAATACCTGTCAGATCTCCTTCAGGTATACGTGCCCAGCAGGGCTCTAAGATCCTTTGGAAGAAGTCAGCTGGTAGAACCTCGGGTCAGAACCAAACAGGTTATAGCTGCCTTTAGCTACTATGCTGCACACAGCTGGACCTCAAATGTGCCGCAACCCCAGTAACTTTTAAATCAAAATTGAAAACCTGCATGTCAGGGACTTGCACAAACCAGCCAGAGAAGCACTGCTGATGAGTCTGAAAACTACATTTTATTTTGGAGAAGCTTCAAAATTAACATGAACTTAACCTAATCAATGTAAATTAGTCAGAATGACACCAGCACAAGACACACTATCCAGAAAAACAACATTTCAGACACACCAGGTTCAACTTAAACAGTGGCTGATCAGACCACTCTACAAACAAGAGGGGAACAATTAACATACAATTAACACACACATCCTCACACACACAAACTAACCAGTCTAATCAATTCAGGTAACTCAAACAACTATCATAATTACAAACTCCCCATCCATCACAGAAAATATCTACATTAAATTAAACACAAGCGTAAACATGAATCTCCCCTCCCTTGGGAGTAGGTAGATCCCAGCAGTGCTGATTAGGCTTCCTGAGGAGATGAGCTGCAGGTGTGAGACTCCATGGGCAACTCCAAGTCACTGGTAACTCAAATAGGAGTACAAAATGAACACATGCATTCATAAACAGAAGACTGATTGTGTGCACATCAACCAGTCATCCTGGACAGAACACAGAAAACAAACATGACCAGCAGACCATGTCCCTGAGGTGATAGACACTGTTGTCACCTTCTGCACTGTAACTGCTCAGCCTTTAACTTTGTCTGTTTCTTTTTAATTTTTAAATTGTGTTTTTCTGTTTCCTTGATTTTAATGTTCTTGCTGATGGAAAGCACATTGAATTGCAAGAAATGTGCGATATAACTAAAGCTGCCTTGCCTTGATTATCCCAGATGAGAACATTTAACTGGGCTGACCTCAAAAGTGAATCAGTTGCAGATGATTATTTTATAAACCTTTAGTGAAACTCCATCCAGCGGTTCATGGGACACTTTGCTAAGAATTAAAAACACGCACAAAGTTGATAAATGGCCCAAATAAAAAGGTGTTTGTTGTTATTTGCAAACATTTACATTAAAAATACTACAGCTTAAATAGTTCTGAACTCACACTCAACATTAAGGGAGGTCAGCTCGTTTAGTTTGTACTGCTAAAGATAGCAGAGCACTCTCCGGAAGGTCAGAGGTGAAACTTCCTGCTTCCGTGTGTTCTGGAGTGTCATTGTACAAAACTCTGACCCCCACATTGTTTCAAATAGCAGGCGAGACCTGTGTAAGGCTTCCCTGCTGCTGCTGTGAGCGAGGGACTGAATTAGAAGCTAATTTGGTGAAGCACTTTGTGGAGCTCGGCTGAGGTTGAAGGTTACATGAGTGATGAGGAGTTACCATTAAATTCTACACTGATTTTCTGTTCATTGCTCACAATACATTACCCTTGCCTGGATGCTCATTTGCAAACTTCTTGCAAAGAAGTTTTAAAGTTATATGAAAAATGTCCTTCCTGTGACTCCAGCGTAACAGTTTTATGCAAATGTTAGCACAAAGGCGAGCTGTGCACCATCACTTCAGAGAACTAAATGTTCGGGAAAACCTTTCCACACTAATTCTAGGTTTTTGATTGGTTTATTATACGCATTTCTATCTCATAATTTCCTGGACTTTGCTAGAACTTTTAACTGTGATTTCTTAACCTTGCTATAACAGCAAGTGATTTTTTTTTTGTTCTTATCGTGGATTGTTGGGACATGTTAAAGGATTCAGAACTTTAAAGGTTACAATATTTTGTTTTCTAATAAATGTTATTAGGAACACCAATAATAGCTGAAATAGTGACCGAGATGTTGTCAAGTCTCACTTGAAAGCCACAATTTCCTCACTGGTCAACATTTTTAAATCTAGATTTGTCCAAAAAAGTGAAACACCACCATTTGTCATGTTGTGGGTAACCAGTTCACCCAGGACATGAAGAACCACACACAGATAACAAAAGTAAAAATGATAAAAATGATACAATTGTTTATTTAAATGATGAAAAGGGAGAACTAAAGGTGCTGCTCCAAAACGGGAACAGGAAGGAACCGGTATCTACAACGAGAGATAACAAACGAGAATATGCCAGAACCAAGAGAAATGATATTGCTTTTGGGGGAAATAATTCTTACGGTCAGAGACCAGGGTTCGGTGATGGTGAACTGGGTCAGGTCTAGTAGTGAAGAGGCGGCGGAACCGATGGATGAGGTGGAGCTGAACAGGAGACGGTAGTAGGTGTCCAAGATGTAGGTTGGAAGACAGGCAGGCGGTGGTGAGCGGAGGCCAGAGGATCCTGAACAACGTGACCTCGAGTACAACTCCAGGCGTAGGTGGGTGATTCAAGGTGAGGTAAGTGGAGACAAGAACAACAGGATCTTACAGGAGCATTTTGCAGGAATACAGAAATCTAGACTAGGCTGAAAGCTGCCCTTGGTGAGAGTATCGACCGGCACTGGAGTTGTGTCACACCGCTCCTTATATCCCCTGGCCCTCTGATTAGCGAGATCAGGATCAGCTGGAGCTCACTGACACGCCCACCTGTAACACAAAACTGAAGAATACCAGGTCTCCTTTAAGGATGATTAAGGCCCTGTCCACATGTAGCCGGGGATCTGCCAAAACATAGATATTTTTCTACGTTTTGGCCTGTCATCCACACGAAAACAGAGTTTTTTCACACAAAAACTGAGCTTTTTAAAAACTCCGGCCAAAGTGAAGATCTGCATTTTCTCCATTTTGGGTGTCTGCGTGTGGACAGACAAAACCGGAGTTTTAAGCTCCGCAACGTCACTTTCCGCGACACAAAAATGCTGTCATATCACGTGTGCGACCTGTGTTTACACTAGCCGACAGCATGGATGCCCTCAGAGCTGCGCTCGCTTTATCAACTGTCCAAGAACTTTTTGCTTGTTTGTTTTTGCGAGCGGAATTACTGCTCCTTGCGGAAGACCACAGACGAAGGACGAGGTTAAGAACGGGGGAAGTACTGCCGCCTACCGGTCTGGCATGTCCTTAACAACGTATTTATCCGGGTACGAGTGGACAGAGTTTTTTTTTAAACGAGGTGGTGTGGATGCAAGTTTTTGGAGGGGCGGATATTCGTTTAAAAAAAAACGGCTACGTGTGGACTAGGCCTAAGGCAGACAGTGACACCATTTCAATGTACAATATGTAATAGTTCTACAGTGAAATAGTCGCAATCTACTGGGGTTGTCAGTTTTACTCCTTTCAAAAGGGCCTAAATGGGATATACATAGTCTTTGTGTACAATCTGTGAGCCCGCAGGTTTGCAGAGTCTTTGTTAGCTAATGCTGCAGCACCAGCATTTGTAGTTTGACACCGGCCAGCAAAACTCAGCAGTGTTTTGTAAAGATTCTATAAGTCAGTAACAGGAGCGACCCAGAAGTTGTTTCTTGTAACCCTAAAAAGTCACTGCATCTTTTGTTTTACTCTGGGCAGAGGCTAGCATTAAACTAACAATGCTAATGGTGATTTAGCAACAAATAGTTGGCTCTACCAACATCTCAAGCTACTTTTTCAATTGCCAACAACGCAGTGTCACAATTAAATGTATTTATCTACCTAATGACTTACTGTGAATGACTCATCCTTGCTTGTCATCTAGAATTTTCAGACTCTGTTCTGTAAATGGCAACAGCTATGAAACTCCCAAAAAAGAAGTTAGAAAGTGACTTGTGTAGTTTGAAAATGGGCTGCAGTAACTTAATTTGACCACAGGGTGTCAGTATTACTTCATTCTTACATCATGCACCTTTAAAGCATTAAAAATGGATACATCACTATGGAAAATATGAGGTGCTGGTTGTAAACTACTATTGACAAAAATGAACAGCTAACATTAAACACATCATTAAAAGTAATTAGTATGAAACTACATATAATTAAATGGTAAACCTAAATATCTAGAAACAAATTTAAATGTATAAATTTCAATGTATGTATTTATTTAGAATCTTATCTAAAAGAATAAAATTCAATTTAAATATTAAGTTTCTTAAATACTAATTTATAAATTTATGCCTAAATATTTGGGATCAAATATTAATACAGTGTGCAATATCTAGAATAAGATGCAGTATGTTCTTGTAAATACACACTCACCTTCTTTTCTCACAGATCACAGATAGTTGGTGTCTAACTCCAGCAGTCATCAGGAGACAAGTGGGGGGCATGCTGGACAGGTCTCCAGTCCATCACATGGACCCACATAAGCAACAATCCATCCACACACTCTCTAACATCTTGGAGCAATTTGGCATCACATACTAACCTAACATGCATGTTTTTGGTCTGTAAGACTAAACCTGACTACCCAGACAAAGCCCACATGTGCATGGGTAGAACATGCTAACGCCACATAGAAATTTTGCAGCTGAGATTTGAACCTTCACCCTTCTTGAAGACAAGCAACAGTGACACCATGGAGCCCCTGAAGACAATTAAAACATTTCCACTCTGGAGTATATTAAAATAATCAAAGTCTCTTCTTTGCAGCAACCACACAAGGAAGTGAAATTCAACTGAGACAGACATCTTTTAGCGAAACCAAAAAAGCTTCTCTGTAAGTTCCTAGAAAGCTGATTTTGTACAAAGCCTTCAGCTGAGATCTTTAAAACTCACTCCACTGGGATGAGAATATGTATCCAACTTTTCATTTTGCCTCTTCTCCAATTATTCCTGATCTGCCTGTTTGGTGAGTCTTCTCGTGCTTCCCTCTGGAATTGAGGACAACGTTCCAACGTAGATCCAGAAACACTTAAAGACCCAAACACACGATGTCGCTCATTAGCTCGTCCTTTGTAAACACCTGCCTACATTATGCAAATATTTTTTTTTCTTATCTGTGGGTGTTTTGCATGCAAGCAGAGAAAAAATCTGAATGTGGAGTGTATTTATGCCTGGCTGGGCTGATGTGTGTGTTGTGGCCTTACATGCATGAGCGAGACTGTACAGTACATGACTTGAATACCCTGCAGGGTTAGGAATGGTTAGTAACACACTGACACAGTTATCAGACCAGACTAATTTGGGTCTGGGGTGATGTGTGTGTTTGTGCGAATGGGGGTAAGCCGTGGTCAGTGTGTGTGTGTGTGTGTGTGTGTGTGTGTGTGTGTGTGTGTGTGTGTGTGTGTGTGTGTGTGTGTGTGTGTGTGTGTGTGTGTCTGTGTGTCCAGGAAGATCAGAACATGCTTATTTCTTTGGGGGTTTTTTCAGCCCTGCACCACCAGCTACTCTTTACACATTTTCACCAGAACCTTCTTCTAAGGTCTCACCTCTGCCTCTGCACACATTCGCAATTTAATAATTGCTTTCCACATTAGCAGGATCCAAAATAATTTCTGTGGAAGCTCTTGGCGAAAGATCGCACACCCTGACGACTGTCTGACCCAGTTTCGCTCCTCCACATCCCCGCAGTAAAGATGCTGAGGGGCAAGAGGCATAATAAACACAAACGTTTACCTAACTTAACCTTTTTATAATAAAATGTTTCAGTGTTTTAACCAAGCTCTAGTTAATACAGCATGAAATTAGAAAAAGAAAAATAGAGAGGGGGGTTCTGTCGTTAATCCAGTTTAAATCAGTCGGTCTGGGAGCATCAATTTAATGAGTAAATTAGAGCGCTGTGGCATCGCACTCATGCCCGTGATTAATTTTATGTGAGCTGCAAGCAGAAAATGCAGCTACATTTCAAACTGTAAATGAATGGGTGTGTTTTCCTGTGTTTTCAGTCATCCAACCCTGTTTATCTGCTGTGACAGGAGTTGTGGGCGATGATCGGAGGCCAACGATGCGTCACAATAGCCACCAAAACCCCAAAGCTGAGGGAGGGAAAGAAAGACAATGAAATAAACATGAAAAAAGATGCGTAAAGGGTGGACTGAACAATAGGTTCGAATTGGGAGGGATGCTGTGTGGATGGAAGGGATGAAAGAATGAGCCAAACATCTAAAAATGTTATGAAAAGTGTGGTGCCACTGGAGAGGATTGACTGAGGAGGGGTGGGATGCAGAAAAATGAGACGTGCAGCAATAACTGAAGGGATGAGACAGAAGAAATGAAGGAACACAAAACATAAAAACTGAAGGCTGCAAACAAATAAAGAAAAGGAAAACTGATGTGGGTTTATGCGCCGGGGGTGAGGCAGCCAAATGGGATAAAAAATCCTACTTTCAAGTTCTTAAAGACTATAAGAGAGGAAATAAAGGAGCTGTCACTCCAGTGTGACTCCAAGCTGAGGCTAAAAATGCAACTGACTTCACCACGGCGCTCGCTGATCTGCTCCACAGGCACCGATTAACAAACTGTTAGATCTGATGCCAGCCTGATCCATGAAGGGGGCATCTTACTCACGCCCAAGTCTGTGTATGGGGATGGGGGGGTGACATGATGGGGCAGAGACAGCAGGTGCATAACTTTTTATGGAGACCCCCCCTTCCTAACACACATTCCCATTGGATGAGCCTCATTATTTTACTTCAGATGCACGGCAGCAGACTGGTGTGCATCTGTGGGGCTGCTCTGCCACCTCAGAGGGGAAGAAGAAAGAAAAGCCAGGGGGGAGAGGAGAGAGGCGAGGAAGAAAAATAAAATGTAAACATGTGGAGAACAGGAGGACAAAGAGAAACATTATTTTTTGATGTACTTCAATGAAAACAGCTCATTACAAATTCTCCAGCTCCCTTAAACGCCCACGTGCACTGGCACAAGAGCACGGGAGAATACATAACAATCTACAGTTTCCCACGGAGACGCGACTGGCATTTTAGATTGTACAGTCAGAGAAAACGATGGAGTTTAGTAAGCAAACACAACAAGAAGATCAAACCTGGAAGAAATTAATAGGTCCAAAGTCACAAAACTGCTGGTTTTATGTCAAAAATGACATTTTTGTGATGAAATCAGCAATGTTTGATAATTACTTCAAAAAAATCCATCCTGTGTTTCATGCTAACAAACACAGGTTAAAAACGTGAGGATGTCTGGTATTTTTGTGCAGGACAACTAGTAAACCCCCTTGTCCCACCCACCTCCTCAGGCCTCTCTGCAGCACTTTAGAGTCCCCCACCTCCTCCTGAAAAAGAAAAACGCATCCCTCCCCTGTCCTCTGCTGTAAGATTTTCTACAGCCTCCTCCAAATTCCGCTCGGTTATTTTCATTTTGGGGAATATTCATGCCGGCGATGTTTATTCAAGGTTCTGAGAGGGAGATAAGAAGCCAAGTGCTGAGCTGGCCTCCAGGGCTGCCAGAGCTCCAAGTCACACACACACACACACACACATGCAAACACTTGATGTAACACATGCAGCGTAAAACCAATATTGAAGCACAGCAGCTTGTTTGCACACAAGAAAAGATAGTTGCATGACTTATTTTTGGTTCGTCGCCACGTAGAAACTCCGATGTGGTGTCCGTGAGTTTTGCTTATCAATTTGAGACAGAGGCGGCTTCATCCTCCGCATTTCTGCTTGTCAAGTAGGAAGAACATATTTTTTTTACAAGACATGTCAGTCCCCAAAAATGCCTGACCCTCATCTGTCAGCAGTGTTTATCATGATGTCATGACAAACACGTGTGCACATCATTTAGGGAAGCTGTCCCAAACCAACCTCCTGCACGTATTTGTACCTCACACACATGTAAAGTGGCTGGAGGGGGAAAGTTAGGAGACGTGGCGTGCACAAAGTGTGCAGGAGACCGAAAGGCTGGTGTTTTTGTAACAGCTTAAAAACTTCCTTGTCTCTCTCTCTCTCTCTCTCTCTCTCTCTCTCTCTCTCTCTCTCTCTCTCTCTCTCTCTCTCTCTCTCTCTCTCTCTCTCTCTCTCTCTCATGGAATCTCAGGTTTTTCACCTTCTTCCAGCTTCTCGGGACATAAATCTGATCCCTCTTCAAAGCTCTCAGCTTTTTACAACTTTCTAAATCCTGAGAGGTGCACTCAGAACTCAGAGCCTGGTGTTCTGTCTGGCACAGGAGTGCTCGTCCATTTGATCAGAATGATGGGATCCTACTGTCATAAATAAGCTAGTTTTTGGCAAGAAGCCCACAAGGAATCAGGAACAGTGGAATATCTCTGGAAAAATGCACACTTGATGACATTTATGTAGATATCCCTGCAAACAGTCAACGTCGCATGGACGTGCAGATCATGTCCGTATTGAGTCCGTTGGTCCAGAACACGTCTGTGGGAGGACTACGCTAGGTCTTTGCACAGTAGGATAGAACAAAAGATGCAAACATGTTTAGAAAAAGATCCAACAAATGGCTTGATTACACAAAAATAAAATAATGCATCATAAAGAGAGCTGCTGAGAAGTGCAGTCAGACGTAACACACAAATATAAGTAACGTAGCTTAAAAACAGTAAATAAAACATCAGCTAAAACGTGGAGGACATTTATAACAGAGTAGATTACACATTTTTGGCACTTGAAAATATATGACAATTTCTTTATTTTCTGCTGCAGATGAATATATAAAGGGCCTCTGTTTGGAGATTAGTGTTTACATCCAAATGGAGTGACGTGCTAACGGCTAGTCGAGCACAGCGAAGACCAAAGTGTATAGTGACATCTTAACACAGCTCTCTTAAATCTATTAGCGGCTCATGTACCATTGTTTATTTAAGCATTACACAGTCACAATCTGCAAAATGCAGTTATTTGCTTGGACTTTCATATTAACTGATTATTTAAAGGTGCATCTCCAGCAGCAGCGAAATGCAACACTTTGAGTGCATCCAAAGCAAGTCTGGTGGGAATTTATAAATAATTCTGTCTAAATAAACTTGCATTGAAGATGGAAGGAGGTCTAAAAAATTTTAAGGCAGCAGCTTCACCCTTTAGTTTTGTTGTGCCTAGCTGTTAGCTCATCAGTCCTGTGGGATGTAAATTATATTTCTCCAAATTGAGTAGATGGTTTCCTGGATGGGGGTATTTAAAATGGGAATTATTGCAGTTAATTATAACTTTTCATTCATAAGCACATTCTAAAATTGTCCTCAAAATATATCTTTAATATCAAGATTATATAATCTTGCAGCTACTTTTTTAGTCTTGGCACCTCATGATAAATGATAAATGACCCGCACTTGTATAGCGCCTCTCAGAGTGAGGACTCCAAAGCGCTTTACACTACAGTGTATCATTCATCCATTCACACACACACATTCACACACTGATGATGATGAACTACGATGTAGCCACAGCTGCTCAGGGGCGCACTGAAAGAGGCGAGGCTGCCGAGCACAGGCGCCTTTGGTCCCTCCGACCACCACCAGCAGCCAAGGGGGGGTTAAGTGTCTTGCCCAAGGACACAACAGCAGAATTCTCTGTCTGGCGCTGGGATCAAACCTGCAACCTTCCGAATACTGGACAACCCGCTCAACTTGTTGAGCTCAACTTGTTGAGCTACTGCTGCCTCATTATGTATTATGGACAGAGTAAAACAAATAAAAATATATGCCTAATATCTAATACCTTAACTTGTCTTGTTATAAGATGAATAAAAGATCCTCTTTCATTTTACCCGTTTCATGCAAAGTGAAAATTACAATGAACTTTCATTTAAAAAGCCTTTTGCTTGTCCATGTGCGCAAATTACACCACATTTGAATGCCACTCCATGCATAAGCCAACATAAGCTCTTTATAACCTTGTAGTGTAGTAGAATTAACTCTTTCATTGACATACAATATGTATCAGAGCTGTGCACCTGAGTATACATTTAGCAACAATTCTAAAAGTATTTAAAATAAACTGTTTAAACTTATGGTTTTATACCAAGAAATTAATGAAGACGCTATGTAAAAATAATGGTGTAATTACAATTTTTGCATGAAATAATTACGAACATACAATTTTGGTTGATAGTTAAAATAAATTAAAAAGACTAAATAAAAATAAGTATAGCATTTAACTAGTTTTATTTTATTTTATTGTAGCACAAACAAAGCTTTGAGGGACTTACTGATCATGTGCCAGGAACCCAAAAATAAAATTATCATTATTTGATCTCTACCACCCCCTGCTGCCTATTAGGTGCTAATGCAACATATTTTGGATTATTTCAGGATACAGATGCGAAGATAATTAGTCAGACAGATGTTCAGTTACATTGCTTCTGACTTCGTGAATATTCATGAGAAAAAAACATAGCTGTGTGAGTAAATCCATCCTGAAACTGCAACAGCAGCAGGCTGTAACGCCCCAGCCTCGCAGCCTGCACTTGTTGGTGCAACAGAATGAAGTCCTGATGCTTTTCCACCGCTAGATGGGGAAGTGGGACAGGAAAACTGTGAGGAATGGCGCTTCCTCCGCCAGTGGGTGAACTTGATTTCATCCCAACATTTGGTTGCACCAAACAGTCTTGAAGCACACAGCCAGACTCTGTGCGCGTCACATGACAGGGCTGGGTGAGAGCCAGCAGGGCCCTCGTTAGGAAAGGAGGACTCGTATCTCAGCGCGCGCGGCCAGGGTCCCCTTTATCTCCGCAAGGCAGGGAGGGAGGCGTATCCTTTTCCCCTCTGCGCTCCCCTCCACTCCGACGCTCTCTCCCACTCCCAAACCACAACCTGCCTCAGACGACGCCCTGTCGCCCGTCAGGTTTCCACCTTTACACCAGAGGGGCCGAGTCCTACCGCGCGCCGCTAGTCGCTCGCGAGGAGGCCTTTTAATTGACGCGCGAGCGGCCAGCCGCATCTCAGTTGTAGCAGGAAAACAAGGGGGGGTGCGAGGAGGTGGAGGAGAGGAAGAAGGGGTGTTAGGGTGCTCTGAATTCCAGAAAGGCGTGAGGAGGACGTCTGCATCGGGAAGCAAAACAAGGGATCTGAGTGAGTCGTGATTTTTGGGAGGTGTTTTATTTCTAGCGTGTCTGTGTTCTCCTGAGTGACCTGTTTTGGGGATTTGCCGTGCAGCATCCTTTTCCTCCGGACAGGACGGAGGGATGGAAGACATCAGGGACTAATTATAACAAATACTGGCGGTTCTAACCGAGTAGAGTGGTTCCCGTAAACACAGAGGTTTGCTGCAAGAGGAGCAGCATCCTTCAGAGGATAAACACCACACTCGGTGTGGTTCGGGGGGAGAGCAGCGTCATCGTTAGAATGTTTTGGTGCGTTTAGACACGACAGGTGTAACAGGAAGGCATGTTTACCCGAACATGGTGGGCCTATCGTGTACTATTGATCCGCATTGCCAGGGGATTGTTTCTATTTGTGTCTCTTTTTAGCTTTGCTGGTAAATTTCCAGTGGCGCCAGAGATGCTGACTGGTTACAGACTGTGGAGGAGAGGAGACAGGAGTAACTGGGTGTTCCGTGTGTGTGTGTGTGTGTGTGTGTGTGTGTGTGTGTGTGTGTGTGTGTGTGTGTGTGTGTGTGTGTGTGTGTGTGTGTGTGTGTGTGTGTGTGTGTGTGATGGGCAGCTCACTAACATGGCGCACATGAGCTGATAAACCTTTGCTATTACATAGTCCTGTCCGGAATTTACTCTGCTGCAGCATCTTCAACACAGTGAAGCTGTGTGTGTGTGTGTGTGTGTGTGTGTGTGTGTGTGTGTGTGTGTGTGTGTGTGTGTGTGTGTGTGTGTGTGTGTGTTCTGCATCTGTATGTACTTCCTGACTCTGAGCAGAACAATCAGCTCCATTAAGCTTATTGTTTTTTGGAACTGTTTTATCTCAGCAGGTATGAGTAATCAGACAAAGTGTGTGTGTGTGTGTGTGTGTGTGTGTGTGTGTGTGTGTGTGTGTGTGTGTGTGTGTGTGTGTGTGTGTGTGTGTGTGTGTGCTTGTTGTTTGGACTTTATGTTTTTCTCTTGGGTTTCTTCATCTTTGTTGACAATCCAGCAAGTACAAAGCAACCCGTAAACAGAACACACCCAGTGCATTTTCTGAATCCATCCTTTCTTTAACCAGGTTTTAATTAATAAAGTGTCACCATAAGATCTGAAATAGAACAATCTATGTTAACAACCTCAAATAAAAAAACTTTTTTAAAAGGGATTGTGGGCCACACAAAATCACTCCTGGGGCCATAAAAGGTCCGCAGGCCATGCTTTGAACACTGCTGTGATCAACTTTTTTTATAATCCTAAAATATTTTGAGAAACCTGCTTGTTTCCCTGATTTGTGTTTCGGGTTTGTGAAGCAACAACTGTGGGGTCTTAAAATGAACTTTACCCCTACTCCACACAGGAGGTATCGGCATCGCGGAACGGCAGCGGAATGGTTTACTCACGAGCTTTGTTGCACGCCAGTGAGAGTCTCAGCATGCTCCTCGCTGGACTCCTCGCCCCACAAAATCCCTCGAGACTTCAAAATCACGAAATCATGTTTGATATCGCTGTTTGATGTTATATGTGTGGTTCCTCTCTACTGCCAGGATTAAAGCCATGAAAAACGCACTGCTGCACTTCTCGAACAATGCAGGGAGTAAATAAACCTTGAGGTCACATGTATAGACATAATCTACATAGATATGAAATCACATACAAGCACCCCATAAGCTATAAAGGATTCTATCTGAAGCAGGGACATTCCGCTGCTGTTCCGCGTCGCTGATGCTTCCGGTCTGAAGTAGGGGTCAATTAGCTAATATCTGGCACAAATGCTGAGGTTTTATTCTACTAAATTATTTCCTTTTTGTTGTATTCCTTAGAATGTTTTAGATCATAATGTGAAATTTAAAAAAATAAAATAAAATACAAAAAAATAAATAAAAAAGAATATCAAGCTGAGATGTTCACCAAACAAATCATCTGGTAATTGTAATTGGCATGTCTTGAGCATGATTGGCCTAATCAATGATTGGCTAATCTAAAACCCAAAAGTCTATTTTTTTTCTGATCTGTGAATGCACCATTTCTGGGGAAAAACTACATTATGGATTATTGCTATGTGCTAAGTAACACTAGCAATAACAGATCTTTTACTTCCAGAGTTATAATGTTCCAGTTAATTGGGAATAAGTAAAAAACAACAACATTTTTTTCTTTTAAATCATGAATATATTATTCTGTGAGATAAATCACAAAAACAAGCACATCTCAAATTTTTTGGCGGAAAAAGAGACTGAAAAAGTTTGACGTGGCTCTTTTCAAAATTACCCATCACCAAAGTTTGAGTGAATTTGTGGGTCCAAATGCTCTGACGTGAGAGCATAAACACATTTTTTAACAACCATAGTCAAAATGACATTTTCTGTCCTAATGACAATAACCAGCCTGCCCTTGCTTCCGTTTCTCATCTTTTCTGTTAGTTTATTGCACGAGCGAGGTCTCAGCCTGTCTGTGTTCTTGCTCAGCGGTCTATATCCGGTTAAACGCTCTGTGTTTTGTCAGCAACTCTCAGTGGAGCTGACAGCGCTTGTCTTGTTCACCCAATCATCATCTGGCATCATGACCATAGGGAGCCACATGTCCACCTCTGCATGCGGCGCTGGCAGCAGCAAAACAGAATGAATGAGTGAAAGACATCGATGGATTCTGTGTGTGTGCCTCATGATTGTGTCTGAGCATGGCAGGCATGGTATATAAATAGATCAACTTTTATCAATGTAGGTTGAATAAATGAACCGGTAAGGTCACTCTTTCATTTTCATGCGCTGTTGGTAAAAGAGTGAGGTGAGATGGCAATGAGCTTGGTTAAGTTTGAGCTGGGCAAATCACAGCACTCTATGTTTGCAGATAGATGTTGAGTGAGCTTTGCACTGTTAGGGCCGTGATATAGTTGCTCTTTTACGACGCAAACTCGTGTTTAAAATGGCTGCCGCGCGTTACTTGCGTTGATTTGAAGCGCCGTTTCCCCCGAAATTAACGCAACACTTCCGAACGCTGCAATATACGAGTAAACAGTAGGTGAAGTCAACAAAACGAGTGAGGCATACTCAAAATGATGGCTCCGTCTCTGGTTTGGAGGTCATCTTTGACACCGCTGCTTTCTCTTTTTCTGTCGTGAACTCAAAATTAACCAGTTACTGATCACTTCTATTCACGCCATATTTGTTTTGGTTGTACCTGCAAACCCGGCTCTATGTCCGGTCTGAGTAGTCTAGTGCTTCCCCCTAGTGGAACACCCCAGTGCTACGTGCAGTACAGTGCTGTGCAGCAACAAGTACGTGAACAAAGACGCTGCCTGCTGCCTGCACCAACGCAAGGTTAAACAGCAAGTATATCAAGGCCCTCAGAGCTATGACCGAGACTGGTGCTTGTTCGAAATGGCTTTGGCTTCAACTTTGGATGATTTAGACTTGGGTTTTCTCTGAGACATGAGCAGATTGGGGTACTTCTATTTCTCTGGCGGTGTGTGCTGGACTGCTGAACTGATTTCCGTTGCTATGAATAAGTCAGATTGTTCATTGCTATGACCGGTCCTAGTGCTGTCCAATTACCTGTAGAGACAGGTTGAAAGACAGTCCCACTGAGCTCTGTCTACGAGTCATGGCCAGACTAAATACATATATATTGGCCAACAATGCCAGAGGAGTTAAGTGCCCGCTCAGTAACCAGAGGGTTGTAGGTTCAAGCCCCATATGTTGAAGTTGTTGTGTCCTTGAGCAAGACACTTAAACCATATTGCCTGCTGTTGGTGGTCGGAGGGACCAGGGGTGCCAGTACTCAGCAGTCTCGCATTTGTCACTGTGTCCCAGGGCAGCTGTAGCTATGATGTAGTTTATCACCATCTGTGTGTGAGTGTGTGTGAGTGCATGGGTGAATGACTTGTGTTGTAAAGCTCGTTGGGGGGTATAGAACCCTAGAAGACGCTATATGAAAAACAGGCCATTTACAAACCATATGTGGGATGGCTCTCCAGGCTAGCTGTTTTTGGAAGAAACTGAAAAAAAGTTTGCAGCTCTCACAACTAGACAATGACAAACACGTTTGGATAGAGCCTGCAACATGAAGTCAAAGCAAAAGTCCAGTCCTGCTCCATGTTAACAAAATAAAACTAAAATACATCTCAGATCATTTTTACCAGGAGTTGGCGCCTGTTGATTAATACTGTTAATACAATACTGCCGATGTCGGTACAGGATCTGCTCAGGTGTAAGATCGGCTCTGGGTCCTTCGACTGCCGATGACGTCAAAGTAGCTGATTGGCTGAACATGAACCTTACGGAAGTTACGTAATCACGATGTTATCACGTTTCGTTGGTCCAGGCAAATTTTTCTGTTGGAAAGATGGACAACTTTTACAAAGAAATTCATCATTACCTCTTTGAAAATACACTTTTAGCATAGAGCTGCATGTATCTTAGGGCTGAACGATTAACTGCATGTGCAATTAAATTGCGATGTGACAAAAGGAGATTTTCTAATTGCAAAGGCTGCAATTTGGCAGCGAGTGGTTAGCGCAATGCTAATATTGTCACGAACTCCTCCAGCTAACTCCATTTCCCAGCTTTCTCGCCACCAACGTGGCCTGCCGACGTCATCACGCCGACACTATAAACGGAATTGCCGACGTTCATTCATTACTCAGTCATCGTTCCTACCAGACTTTGAATCGAGTTCTCAGGCTTACCAGCCCTCAAACCCAACCTAAGGATCTAACCACGCTGTCTACTGCCACCACTCCGCGTCTGGGCCACAGACCATCTCCGCTACGCTTCAGCTCTGCCACGAAACCTGACAAACATACATGGAAAAACCCATAGGAATGCTAATGCTAATATCACCGATTACATTCTTACAAATTATGAATTAGAAACATGCCAAATGATTACATTTGGAGTCTAATAGAAAGTAAAACTACCATCAATCAAATAAGTACAGACAGGTATTTTAGTAAAGCCAGAAAACTATTAACTCCAGAGTTTTGGCTAGCAGCTATGAGCG